TAAAGTAACAGCCAGGACACACATCCCAGAATCTAAGCTGTATCTCTGTTTACAATAAGCAAGCTCAGCAATGAACTACAAACTATTACTATCAACTAGCCAGCTAAACAGAAACTTGTTATAAGCATTTACATTTAAGTATATAATAATCGTGATCTTTTAAAACACATTTGTAAATCAAGGGTGATAGATTAAAATACACCCTTGAGAGATTTTTCTCAAAATTCACATGAATGGGAAAGCTTTGTACAATGTGTATCATACTTAACTACAACTTGAGGAAACTGGGATTGTCATGGGCTGCCCTATGTATCTGAAAGCGGTCAACTGGCACATCAGCAGCAAGGCTGGCAGTTTGGCCAGCTTCCTGATTTTCCAGGATGCTAATGGATTTGCACTCATTTCACATTCTTGTTTGGCCCTTGAAGGAGGGGGACATGCACCTGGAGCAAGAGAGCATGCAAAGTTGTCTCACCTGGTGATTGTTTGACTCTGTGGCCATGAATTTGGTCTCATTTGTTTAGTGTTCTCACCAGCTGAGCTAACTCAATATTAAAAGAGAATTATACAAACTAGCAAAGCTTTCCAGAATTTGTCCTATCATATCACAGGCCCAAAGGGGCTTTATGTGAGTAAGATGTGTATGGAAGAAAAATTCAAAATTACCTAAGCATACTCAAAGGTTTGAATAACAGTAATTTTCAACATACATTAGGTGGAATTTAAAGAGGAAATATTCATCCAAAGTAAAAACAGTAACATATAAATTCACCAAAGTAATTGCCTATTCTTATTATTATTAGAAATTAAACTTTCAAAGGCCCTAAGATAGGTAATTAGTAATATTATCATCTAGCAAAAAGAACACTAAAACTCAGCGCTGTCAGCAGATCCCAACTCACAGGAACGCTCCATCAGGTTTTTGCGCTGCAAATCTTTTCAGGATGAATAAGCCCATTTTTCTTTCTCCTGAAGAGTGGCTGGTATCTTTGAGCCACCTACTGTTTGGTTTGTACCCCAACTCATTATATACTACACCACCACATTCCTTTGAAGAAAAAAAGGGAGAGAAAGGGATCTTTAACCAGGAGTGTGAAACTCTAGAAGGTAGTCCTGATTCTACTTATATAATGACAAGTAACAATTAACAGTTTATCTACAGAATAGAAAGCTGGGCTTGAAAAGTCTTTGTGCTCTTTCAATTTTAAAATCATAAGAATTTTTATTTCAAAAAAGTTTATTAACATCGATTTTTTTAAAAATATGATGAAAACTATGTTTAAATCTGTTAAGACTTTTAAAAGATAGAGCCAATTCTCTTTTTTAATCAAAAGTCTCTTAAGAGTGGGAAAAATAATTATACAAGATATCCTCCAGGAGTTGCTTTAGCCATATTAAAGGAAACAGGGCTCCCCTGGACAGCACAGAATATATTTAAGTAATTATTTCTAATGTAGCATTGAAACAGTGCTGATTTTTAAGATACTTTCTCAAGTGGTCTGCATCAATTATTGAGAAATATAATTTCCTGACTTCTATCTTATTTACTATTCAAAACCCCTTGCACAAGGGTAAAACTGAAGGCCATATCTCATCTAAAAATGTCCTCCTTCAGTACGTTACTGCTCTGAAGGCTGAGTGACTGAAAGGATTTTGGATCAAAAGAAAAGCCCATACTAAAGGATTTATAGTCTTGGAAATCCTCAATATGTCTCTATTTTAGTGTAACCTGTAGAGAAAAAAAGAATAAATAAACTAGAAAGCAGATAAGACATGAAAAACTTTCAAACTAGAGTTAGACAGCCTCCAATGTCCTTAAACAAAGTAAACCTCTATTGGCTCATCAGAGAAAAAGGCAAGTCCTAAGAAACAATCACAGTTCATTTTCATTAAAAAGAAAAAGAACAAAGATGGACTACTTCTAATTAAATATTGAGATGAACATAATCCACATTTGCTACTGAGTAAGACATTTAGAAGGATTTATCATTTGCTTGTTTATTTCATTCAAGCCTGTTCCCCCCAAGTGTATAATTCCCTTCGCTTTAAAAATATCCCATCAGATATAATTTAAAATCTTTTTGTTTTTAAAAAATACCAACCTACATTGTACAAGCCTGTATGTGCAAAACCGATTAATGCTAGTAAAAAAATTTTAAGGGAAATTAAAATTCAGGGTCAAACAGCTGGGTTACTCTAAAATTTATGCCATTTTAAACAGGATTTTATTAGACACTGTAATATCTTTTTTAAGAAGTTTCCCAAATGCTTTATTTCTTGGTATTTTTCTAACCATTTTCAAAGGACATTTACAAAGGATAAAAATGTTTTCTGTTGAAAACTTTGTTAAGCTGAAGTACTCTTATTAAAGTTATAGTACTTCTATTTTTATTTCTTTTTTCTATATTCTACTTATGGAATTAACAAAACATTTCTTTTCCAAGGAAATTAAAATATGGTTATAGATTTATATCACTACGAATGCACTGAACAGTAGCAATTAGTTTTCAAACAGTGTGTTATTTTTTAACCTTGGGAATTTTTATTGCCACGTATTACAGAATAATAAAAAAGTCATGTAATAGAAAGGAAAGCAGTGGCAACTTGGAAAATTTATAAAAAGGAAGAAAATAGTTGAAAAGAAGGAAATCATAACTTAAAAAAAGCCATCTGCCTGAAAACTCAGCTTCATTTTCTCACAGATTTTGCTGCAGGGAGTTGATGAAAATGGCTGGAGTAATGGACCAACTGCTCTCCTAAATCTTAGAGAAAGCATAATATTTAACTGTTAAGATTATCACGTGACTCAGAAGAAATTATTCTTCCTGATAGAAGCGCCATAAATATTTTAATTTTTAATTGTCTACAATATCAACAGACTTAACAACTAAGGTCCAGTTTACTCCAAAGGTCGTATGTGGTTATTAGATGTTTTCAGTATTTTTAGCAGTCTATAGTGTTCTCAATGGCAGTCAGCCAAGTTATGAACTCCTGATGAACATTTAAAATGTTTAACAGAATATTTAAGTGCCATGTATTTAGTCTTTACTCAGTAATTATAGGATCTGAACTTTAATCCATAAATAATGAATATCATGGTATTTCATAAAATGAACTTCATGAAACTTAATGGAGGTCAAATTTCACATGCTGACTACACAATCTAACCTAAGCAAGAAATGGAATTTGAATATTTTTAGCCCTTATTTGAAACCTGCTAAATCAAAGAAATAGCAAAAGGTTTTGGGACCTTACAGTATTAGATGATCCTATTTTACTGAAAAAGATATGGAAACATAAAACATTTCAGACATAAAACACTTATAGACCATAATTTTAAAGAAAATACAACTCTAAGATTTACTAACGGTAATCTATTTACTTTAAATTAAGCAATAAATTAAATTAATTTACTTTATATTCTGACTTAAAGACTAATTAATAGAATTTACTTTTAAGCTTAAATGTCAGATAATAAAAAAGACCATCTCAATTAATGACATCATCACTGAATCAGCCAATGGTTTTTACTCACACCTAAATATAACTTATTCTTCAAGTGTATATGTAGTTTTATACACCTTTAAAAAAAATCCTTGAAATCTAGACTGCACTTAAGAACCTATGATTACTTGGGATGCTTGTTTATGGATATACATACACATCAATCTCTTGTTACTGCCTCAAATTCATTATAACTATTATAACAATTGTTTAAATACATTCATATTACCTTGAGTTTCTAAAGATAAACTGTTGGCCAAGTGTCTATTATTCTAATAAAATATTCAAGGAAACCTTATGATCCTGGACATACTTATATGTTTTAATGTTTCATTTCAGAATATCTTAAGGCTTAATTTTCATACATTTATATATTTGTTACACACTCTGCATTAAAAAGCCATAATACAATTTCAGACAGTCTTGTTAAGTAAATATCATCCTGTCCTAAGAACTTCATTGGTCTAAAATAGCCACAAACTTTGCCCTGTTTATATCATACAGAACTTACTTCACCCTTACCAACTTTTAAACACTCTTACAAAGTTGTCTCATGAATAGTACTAATTTTAGGACAAAAAGAAGTCTTTCACATGAATATTCAAGTTTTCTATTTAAATCCTGAAAGAACTCACCATTTCAAATAGCGATCTTCAAGTCTACCCATACAAGACTGCTCCAGTTTGACTCTCAGCTGCTATTAACTTATCAATGGGGCCAAAACTATTCAATCTTATTCTCCCTGATCATCTCGTCAAACAGCAAACTTGGACACAGACTGTAATTCTTTTGAGAACTTTTATTAAGTTTTGATTTTTTTTTCTTTTAACAATTCAGTCTGTTGAATCTCAATGCAGCTTATTTTTAAAAAAACTTCATTATGGTTTCATATAAACTGCAATCAAAAAGGTAATTTATCTGAAGTTGCAAATTACTTTTTTTTATTTTATATGCAGAACAATAAAATGTAAAGCATGCTCTTGGATGCACGAGCTCCGGTGTACTATGGAGTTATTCTGAAGAGCTTGCTAAAATCTGCAGGCAGTTTATGCAATGCAATTATTTTCTCCACAATTTAGGTACATGAGAATAAAACTGGTGTTTATGAATAAAGTATTTTTCTCAGAAAAAGTTGAGGCAGCTTTTGTTGAGCGCTATCTGTGCAGGTATACTCGCTACATCTTCAACTGGACTAAGAAACAAACCTCAAGGAATTCACCATGTTCATGCTGAAACTTGTAAAATTCCTCCACACATGTTGATAGGTTCCTAGGAAAGGGAGGAGGGTTAACACACTATGCACAGTTGTTCATCGTCTTATGCTAACAGAGCACGCCAAGAAACTTTACATAACAGGGAAGCAAATCCCCTCACTGCTCTCAGTCAGCCAGTGGTGTCTACGTTGGAAGGTGGAAGTGGAGCAAGGCTAGCAAGGGGGAAAGCTTAAGTCTACATCTCATGCATAGTTGTCCTCGTTCTATCCGCTCTAATGTTTCTCAGACATCAGAATTAGAGCTGAGGTTTGTTAACCTGGGGTCTGCATTGATTTCGTATCGGTAGTGATATCCTTCCATGTGATCCCTGCAGGCATCCCTGATGTTATGCATCCACTTTTTTATGCCTTTGCGGTTCAAATACAAGACCAGTAAGAAAATAGCGCCGATTAGGGCTAAAACAATCCCGAGGAAGACATAAGAAGTCTGCAAGGATGGCGGGAGAATTGGGTCACAGTCCAGGTCGGAGCTGTTGAGCTTCCACAGGGCACGATCACGCATCTTTTCTGGGAATGCACAGGTGAGCCTGGCTTTCCCCTGTACTACCTCAGTCTCCCGGAGCCAGGATACCATGTCGGCCATGTGGCAGTCGCAGACCCAGGGGTTGTTGTCCAGGAACAGCCTGAGGTGGGGCAGGCCCTGCAGTTCGGCCAGAGTGCCATTGTGAAGGACCTTGAGGGCGTTGTCCTCCAGGTGGAGGCTTTCCAGGTGGGTCAGGTTGCGAAAGGACACATAGGCCAGGCTCACCAGCGAGTTGTTGCGCAGGTCCAGGTGCCGGAGAGCAGGTAGGTAGGCCAGCACGTCCCGGGGCAGGTAGAGGAAGTGGTTGCTGGCCAGCTCCAGGCGGTGGAGCCCGTCCAGCGCGTGCCCAGCCCGCAGAGCAGCCGCCACCATGCCCTCGAAGCTCCGATTCCGTGACTCGTCGTCGGGGGGCAAGATGTGGTTGAGGATCAGCTCGACCAGGGGGCTGGGGCCTGGCTCGCTGGCGCTGCTGCCCGCGAAAGCCAGGGGGCTGAGGTCGGCCAGCGGATTGTGGCTGAGGTCCAGCTGCCGCAGGCTGGGCAGATGTTGGAAGGCGCCGGCGCGCACTTCCTCCAAGCGGCTGCTGCTGAGGTTCAGCGCGGCCAGCTCGGCCAGCGGAGGCCGACGGGAGAAGGCACTGGCGGGCAGCACGCTTATCTGGTTGCCAGTGAGGAAGAGAGTGCGCACGTAGAGGGGCAGGTCAGCGGGCACCTCGGTCAGGTTGCGGTTAACGCACTTGACGGTGCGCGCTGCCTCAGAGCACTCGCAGGGCGCTGGGCACTGACCCGGCAGAGAGGGCTGGGCGGACACTGCAGAGATGGGAGACGACGCCGAAGACGTGGAAGAAGACGCGGAGGAGGTGGGAGAGGACGAGGAGACCCAGCCCAGCAGGACCAGCGCCAGCCTCGCCATCCGCAGTCTCCCGTCCCCAGCGGCGGGGCCCCGGGAGCACCCCCCAGGCATCGCGGTGTGCGTCTTCCCGGGGCTGAGCCGGGACGGCGCCCGCTCCGACGGCTCGGGAGGCGGGCCGGAAGCGCTGGCAGAAAACTTTTCTCTCCTGGGGGCCGAGAAAGGACAACGCAGCCGGAACCTGGCTCCCCTAGCCGCCAGGCCACCCCTCCCGGGGCGGAAGCCCTGGCCCAGCCCGTGGAAAGTACGCACGGCGGGTCGGGGCGCTCAGCTCCGCGCTCCGCCTCCGGATCCTCTTCCTGCCGCTTTCCCTCGGGAGGCACCTCCTCGCTCTTTTGTTAGTGTCTCCCGCTGGATCCGCGGCGCAACCTGGGACACGCGGGAGAAAAGCGTGAAACAGCTACTGCGGTTCCCCAAATGTGGAGGTCCCAGACTTCTCCAGTCATCCCCACCCTGTCCCAGGCCCTTCTCGGAAAACCGGCCCCGGCCTCCCTCTCCCGGCTGCGCAGCGCATCCTTACCCTGGAGAGGGGCGCGTGTCCCGAGCCCCGAGTGCCAAGACTCCTTCCTTCCCCAACCCACACTATATATACCCTCCCAGCCTCCTCCCTCCTCCTTTCCGGAGCAGAGTCGTCCCCCGCGTCTAACTTCTCATTTCATCCTCTGCGCCTTCCCCACCAAACTTCTCACCCCCTCGGCGCCTTCTCTTACCGCCCCCACGGACGACCCCACCCCCGCCCGGACCTCTCCTCCCAGTGTGGGTCAGGGTGAGAGTCAAGTTTCAGGCTCCAGGAGTTTGCTCCTTCTTGGATTAGCAGGCAGTAGATGTACAGCTGGCGGCCCCTAGCCAGCGCCCCCGCCCGCCACTTGGAATCCAAAGGGGATTCAACTCATCTCCAAAGGGGCGGAGAGAGGCGGCGAACAAAGCAGCGGCGGGACCTGGCGGCAGGGCCCCCGGGACCTGAGCTGGCCTCCCGCCTGAGGACGGCGAAGGGCCGATGCCGCCTCCCCTCGGGCAGCAGCCGCGCGCTCTACACTGCTCACCTCCGCGCCCGCCGCTCCCGAGCCAACTCCGAGTCCCACCAGGGTCTTGGCGGCTTCCCGGCCGCGCTCTGAGGGCGCCGACTCTGCTCGCACCCCAGCCCCTGGCCCGGCCTCCGCAACTGGGAAGAACCATCGCGGGGAGGGGAGGGCAGAGCTGCAGGAGATGTCTCCAAAAAGCAACCAACCTGGGCAGGCCCACGGTGGGGGATTTAGAAGGAGAGAGACTGGGAATCTGGGCCGCGCGCCTCCCCCAAGTGGAAAGTAACTAGGAACGTGCGAGAAAAGGTGAGGGCATCCCTCTTTCTCCCCTTCCCGGCCATCCTTTGGTGGGTCCTCGTTTTGCATACTGTATTTACCTTGGCCGGGGACGAAGCCCTGGAGACTCTCCTGGAATTCACTCTGATGTTAGACACCTATGGCAGTTTTGAGATAGATTCAGGCATGACAGATAACAGCGCGAATCAGCAGCAGAAAGGAAAGAGCTAGAAATGTGCTCCGGCTGGAGCAAAACGCCAGGCAGGTTGCGAGAGAGCTCCACAAAGTCTCCTCACCCAAGTGCTACCGACCTATAGGCTTCTCACTTAAGAGGCAGTAGTAACTGATAGGTTCACACCTGTCTTACCAGGCACCTACCCCCACTTTTCTTGGGTCGTTATTGAACTTGGAAAGAGAGAAAGTTCAATGAGAAGGGAAAACCCTTCAAAACTCGTGAGAAGAGATTCATTCTTCATTCATTAGCTTTTCCCCTCCCGAAATTAAAAGCAGAGGGAAGGAAACGGAGCCAAGCATCCTAGAAACAAAAAGCCAATAACAACGACGTTAGTCACCCTAAAAGCGGACCCACCCGCCTCACCAGATGTGGCATGTCTGTGGGAAGCACTTAGGCAGGGCGAGTTCACCACCTAGAGGGAGTAAAAGGCCTCCCGATGAGGCAGAAGTTTGGCTGCACATCCTTTGCTTCAGGAGACGCACAGTAGATGGGAAGACGGTGCACCACATTGGGGAGAACGAGATTGATTGATGTTACAACATCTCAGAGGTTTTAGATCCTGAATGCCCTGCCACTGCTTTCTTTTGAACCATTTAGCTCTGCAAATATAAGAACACAAACGAGCGCCCCCCCAACCCCAATCGCTTTAAAACATAACAAGGAACTCTGGTGGCATAGGAAGTGGAGCTGCTATCTCCAAATCTCTCTGCTGGTTTGAATCCACCAGGGGTTCTGCATAAGAAAGAGGAACACTCTCCTTCTGAAAACCCAGCTGGAGTCAAGAGTTGGTTTGACCCAATGGCAACGAGTGAATAAATCTTAACAGACTGCCCATCTTACTTCTATGGAGCTGCTAGTGGCAAAAGTGCTAGTTACAACAGAGGGAGCTCCGGAGGTCCTGTCTATAAAGCTGGCCTCTCTGACTCTTTAAATCTGTCTACTGGCAACTAGAGAGAAAGATAAGCAACATCTTCTGCCCCTTTTACAGTCTTAGAAACCTAATCAAGGGTCAGCTCTGGGTACATTGCAGTTCCTTTGCACAGAGTTTGAGTTTTGAGTTCGTGCATGTTTCTGCATTTTTTGAAAAAAAGTTTAAAAGTAAAAATGAGATCTGATAGTATTAAAAAGAGGGGTAAGAGATGCTGAAATCTGTGCCTGTGGAACAGTAGAACAAAGACCCTGACTCTCAAATCAGTCTTAATTAATCTTACGGGAATGTTCAGAATGTTGTTGCTGTCAAGTGCCATCAAGTCTCAGGCGACTCAGACCGTATGAAGGAGAGAGTCTTCGACGCTTGGGTGCCTTTCCGGAGGCAAGCTATTATGGAAGTGGATGCCACTTCTCCTTCCAAGCTTGTTTTAATCGGGGAGCTCTACCCCACTCTCTGTCTGCATTGGGTAGCCAACCATTAACGCACTTGACACGTCAGTGTCACAGTGTTCAGCCTCACAGCAACCCAAAGTGACCGCAGTACGGTAACTTGTACACCAGGGCTATACGATCTAGAGGAATGTCTGAACAAAAAACAATGAAAGACTGGCCCGAGGGCCGCAGATTAAAAGTCACCCACCTTTGGCTTGGTGGCATCGCTTTCTGTCCACTGGGCCAGCTGATCTCTCTATGTGGATATTATTTTTGTTAAGTGTCATTGAGTTGCAGGCGACTCATAGCGACCCTATGAAGGCGAGTCCTCGACACTTGGGTGCCTTTTATCCTCTCTCCAGATTCATAGGGTCTCAAATCAGTCTTAATTAACCTTATGGGAAGGTTCAGAATAGAAAAAAAAATCTATTTAAAGGCCCAGACAAGCTTAAAAGTCAGGCAAGATTCGTCAAAAAAAAAAAAAGATAGATTTATTTATTTTTTGCCTGCAGCCCATTCACCTAAATCCCCTTTTGTTTCTCAATTTTTTTAGAACATGAACATTGAAACCTCTTCAAATAATTCTCAAAAGCTGTTCTGCAACCTAAGTGTTGTGTTAGTGGCTGTGTGACTCCATCTGTATTATGACAAAATACCTAGGACTATACAACAAAGGAGCCCTGGTGGCGTAGTGAATAGTGCTACACTTGTAACCAAAAGATCGGTGGTTGGAATTCACTAGCAGCTCCGAGAGAAAAAAGTGGGCAGTCTCCTCTTATGAAGATGTATTTCCTTAAAAACTGATCAGAAAGTCACTAGAAGTCCAACAAAATTGGGTTGGGTATGACATAACAAAGTAAAGGTTACAGTAAGCCCAAAACCAGAGCAAATTCACAGCCTTCCAATGATTCCAACTGTGAAAACTCTCTATTTGATTTCCAGTAAGATACTGACCTAACTTTCTTGTGGAAAGCAACTAGTGCATTTGACCCTCAAATCTTTCTTTAGAGGCAGCTCTGGTGGCCTCGTGGCAAGAAGCTGGACTACAATACCAGAGGCACAGGGTTCGAATCCACCAGATGCTCTGCTGGAGAAAGAGGGGAAATCTCCTTCTGTGCCAGTCAGATCTGATTTGATGGTACACAACAAGGAAAATAAACAAGCAAACAAAAAAATCTTTCTTTGGCCACAAAACACATACTACAATACACCATTATTAATTCTGGTCCTGATGTAACCTCAACAGCTCTTTTTTAAGAAAGGGATAAGCACTGCAGTGTCTATAAAGATGACATGCAGGTGAGTTCTTGGTTTAGTACTTACTGGAGCTGCCATGAATTGTCCCATTACCATCTATTTTATATATATATGTATAATCTACTGTCCCTCATCTCTCAGTTTTCCATACTCTGGTAGCTTATGTGTTAGCTGGAGGTTATGCCTCTGATATTTCAAATACCATCAGGATCACCCATTGTGGACAGGTTTCAACAGACCTTCCAAACTAAGACTTAGAAGCAGGATTAACAATCCACTTCTGAAATAACAGGCCATCGACAGCCTTATGAATAATACCAGATCGTTGTTGGCTATGTCTCTGAAAGATGATTCCCTCAGGTTTCAAGGTACTCAAACTGTGACTGGTGGACAGCTGCCTCCTCAAAGTGAGTCTGTGGTTATTACCCACATGAAGTATAGTTTTCTCCAAGTGAAGGAACTTGATGCAGCAAGATAGGAAATGAGAAATAACTACAATATCCATCAATAATTGGAACATCGCATGTATAAAATGTCAGCCTAGGAAAACTAAAAGTTGTCAAAAATTGAAACACATAGAGATGGCCATTCCTGGCATTAGTGACTGTGATGGCCAGGTATTGACCATTTTGTATCAGATAACCATATGATCTGCTTTGCCAAGAATGACACATTGAAGAGGAATGGTGTTGCATTCATAGTCAAAAATAACATTTCCAGCTTTATCTTGAATACAGTAATGTCAGTGATAGGAAAATATTCATATGCATACAAGGAAAAGCTGTTAATATTCAAATACACACGCCAGCCGCTAAAAGCCAAAGATGAAGAAATGGAGGATTTCTACAAACGTTTTCAATCTGAAATTGGTCAAATATGTAATCACAATGCATCAATAAGTA